TTTTGATTTTATTGTAGAGATGAGGTCTCACCAAGTTGCCCAGGTGGGTCTCGAACCCGCGGGCTCAGCCAATCCGCTCACTTCAGCCTCCCAAAGGCACGGGATTAGAGGCTGAGCCACCGAGCCCAGCTCACACCGTCTTTCAAATACTGGCTGCCCACTTAGTCTTAGGACTTGGCTTGCAGAAGGAAGTGGGAATGCTGGGAACAAGACTTAATTTTTATGTATTTATTTATTTTGAGTCGGAGTCTCACTCTGTTGCCCAGGCTGGAGTGCAATGGCACATTCATGGCCACTCTAGCCTTGAAATGCTGGGCTCAGGTGATCCTTCTGCCTCAGCCTTCCAAGTAGCATGTGCCACCATGCCCTGTTGATTTTTTAAAAATTTATTTATTGTAGAGATGAGGTCTCGCCATGTTGCTCAGGCTGGTCTTGAACCCCTGAGCTCAGGTAATCCTCTTGCCTCAGCCTCCCAAAGTGCTGGGATGACAGGCGTGAGCCATCACACCTGGCTAGGACCTGATTCTTGACTACAAAGAACCAAGGAAAACCATAAATTAAACCATTCACTTCCTCATGAGTCCTACCGTAGTCCTGTGAAATCAGAATTACTAAAGTGGGGCCCTATTTTTAAAACATTCCCCTGGTGATTCTGTTCCTCAGCAAGGTTTGGGAAGCACCTTTCAGATAGAGGGAATAATTTTCCAGTTAGAGGGCATAGGTCATATTTGGGGAATTCTGATCATTGATTTTGGCTGGAGTTGAGGGTACGTTAGGGAATATTGGGAGAGATAAGGCTGTAAGGGTGACTTGGAGCCGGGTTCTAGTAGAAGCATGGAAGTGTGGAAGCATTTTGTATAGGGGAAGAGCATGCTTTCTTGGGGGAGGGCAGGAGAGACTGGAGGGTGGTAAATGTTAGTAGCAGGGCCCCCCCTTGTTTGTATGCTATGCGTTATCTTAGTTGCAGTATCTGATTTACTAAGGTAATGGTGGGACCGAAAAGGAAAGAAGCAGAGCAGAAGGCTTTTCAAAGGAAGAACATAGGGATTTGTGAGGGACTGGTGGGGTAGGTGGAGTCAGAGCCAGATCTTACTGTCTTTTTTTTTTTTTTTTTT